TCAGCTCTCTTCTCCATGTGTTTTTTGACCTTCCTTTATTCCTATGCCCCTGTGGGTTCCAATGCAAAGACATTCTAGTTATGCTGTTCTCCTGTTTTCTCAGTGTGTGTCCTATCCAACGCCAGCGTCTTTTCCTCACCTCATAGTCCACTGGAGCCTGTTTAGTTCTCTCCCAAAGCTCTACATTAGTGATTTTATCATACATTTAATTCCTTCTTTTTAGCGCAGGCACCGGTTAATAAATGTTTGTAGTTTATTAGTTATTCTCCAAGTTTCCGCAATTCCTCCCGTAGCACGCTGATTTGACACACGTTGCTGCTCTCAAAACCAATGGCCCAACTCCATGGTCCCTAAGGACATGATGACCACATGCCAGTTTTATTTATCTATCTATCAAGGTCCTATAACCTAGGGTCCTTTGGGAGGAAGAGTATGCCTTAAGTCCAGTGTGCTGCTGGATGTGAGTGCAGTGTGATGCTGGAGGTGGGTCCAGTGTGCTGCTGGAACAGTCAGCTTACACTTAAAACGATTGCTGAGTGACCCAGCGATGTTCAACCGCACCAGGACCGTACCACCAGCGACAAACACACGGCGACACAAAGTACCACCATTCAGATAAGAGTCCTCAGACACAAATCCCAGCAACCCGTTAGGTTATAATTACGGTGTCGAAAAAAATTACGTCCTATGTTGAGGTGGATTTAACAATGGCCGAGGGAGACAGCTTCTATGGCTAAGCCATGTGTGCCAACAGGCAGATTCTCAAATTAGTCATCATTTTCTCGTGCTTGTTCTGTGACCTTTTGAGGGTAAAAGGGAGGCGAGTAATAGACGCTCAGTTATCTAACAACACTCGGGGCCGCGTTAGAGCAGTCGATAGGAGACTCGCTTTAGAATCCAACTGTCGCTGCAGCCCACGGCCGGTGTTCGAAATCGAACCGTTCACGGGGTTCAGGAAATGGATACCAGATTTAACACTCTGGGGTAAAGGAAGGAACGTCGCTGCAGCTACGGAGTTGCGTGCGGACGGCGACACAGTTTCTTATCAGCTGTCCGCACTGGTGGCAGAGCACTTATGGTTTATAACCGTGTGCAATGACCTTGGTTCACATCTCCCGACTTTACCTTTAGTTATCTAACAAGCATGTCGTAAAAGGCTTTAATTAGTGTTTGCTGAAACTGGATGTGTTGGTTCCAAACGCCCACGTATATCATCCTAGCCGTAAACCATAACACAGCATGATAACTCCCATTTTTATTTGTGAAGGCAGAGAATCACTGATGTTATTGAAACAGTAAAGTAGCTGAAGTCCTCTCTTATCGTCACTGGTGCTCTGGGCATGTGGCCACCTTTACTTCCTAGGATGTTACTTGGTTCCAATTACACAATTAATAAGGTTTCTTTTGAAAAAATAAAATCTAACTGGATGCGATTTGTCGTAGGACGTAGGCTGATGCTCTGGCATAGGGGGTTTGGGCTAGAGCCAGTTCTACATGTTTCGGGACCTTTAAAAGCGCTGCTATCGTGGAATATAGAAGCCGCTGACAATAACGAGTAGCCCGGCTCTCTAGCGTAGTTGGCTAAACCAGACTGCGCGGTGACCAGGTGACGAACTCCTTGTGGTCCGGGTTCACTCCCGGTAGTAGGCAGAAAAGCCACATTTTTTCCCAGATTTACGGTATTTATCATGGAATCAAGGCCGAAAGGTTGCGATATCCATAATACCGAGCCTAAGGGTTAACAACTCATGGCTTCTGGATACTAAAAAAAACAAACAAACGACAACAACGAGTAAAATGCGTCGTCTTGGTGACCGGTCACTAAGCGTGACACCCTCGCAATATAGAACAGGCCCTGCGACACAACCAAGCATGAATGGCAAGGGAAGTCACTCTCTGGGAACGACAACGTTACAAGCACCCAACACTTGATGAACTGCTAGTCTGGGAACTTGTCTTTACTAATGAACGCCATGGAGTATAGTTAATTCAATGTCACTAGACGGTCACCAGGAAGGACGTCCTCAACTCCATGAATGTTGTATGAAGTAACTGCGAGTGACAGACGGCTGCGAACTGGGATCTCGCATAGTGCAGTAAGGAATTCTATGATTTTGCTTTGTTGAAACTGAGCGTCTTTGGTGGTCATTTGTAAAACTTTACAGCTGCGCCAACTGTTAATAAGTAAGACTATAAAGTGTAGAAAAGTGTCTGGAGAAACCTGCTAACTTTTACACATTGCACAAATGATACAGCATTTACATAGATAAACATAACAGGGATTACCTTTTGACATCCCCTCACATGTGTGTGTGTGTGTGTGTGTGTGTGTGTGTGTGGGTGGGTGGGTATGTATGTATGCATGTATGTATACCCACAGATTTTGGGATCAGTTGCTTTTAAAGATTAAAAATTACATTACTAGTTATAACTTATTCTTTGTAGCAACAATGAATCATGCAAGGACCGTCACAACCTTTACAGAGACACGTTGACGAGAACGTTTCGTCATACGGCACAAGTCCATACCAGTCGTCACCATACATACTACACATGTGAGATGGAAATACAGCAATATCGTGAGGTTGAGCTTAAAGCTTGAGTTGCAGCAAACCTGCCCATTGTTCATATGATGGCAAGAAACCCTATAACATCTTTTCCCCGGCGTTCAGCTGTGAAACACAATTACTTGCATAGTTCGGTCCCCTCGGAGTATCGCAAGCATACATCTCCACCAGAGGTCGCCCCTCGGGATGCGACGCTTGGACGTCATTTCCGCTAACACAGCAGAGCACAGGCGTCGACTGGTTGCTAAGTTCGCCGACTTGTTGTTTGTTGTTGTTGCTGCCGTTGTTGTTGTTACTGCTGCTGCTTTCTACCACCGAGCAGTGGGTGTTGAACTGATGTCGAGGGTGGAATTTGAAGGTGTAGGAGTTTTTGTTCGCGCGTCTTTTGGGCTGGCTGCGAGTCCAACAGCAGCACCAACAGAGAAGGGTTGAGCGGAAAGCTTGCCGGAACTTCAGTGACATTATACTGGTTGGGGTGATTAAAAAAAAAAACAGGTTAAGATCAGTTTTTTTTAGCACACATTTTCTTTACCAAGACTTTTTTTTCTTTCTTTCTTTCTTTCTTCTTCTTCTTCTTCTTCTTCTTCTTCTTCTTCTTCTTCTTCTTCTTCTTCTTCTTCTTCTTCTTCTTCTTCTTCTTCTTCCTTCTTCTTCTTCTTCTTCTTCTTTTTCTTCCTCTTCTTCTTCTTCTTCTTCTTCTTCTTCTTCTTCTTCTTCTTCTTCTTCTTCTTCTTCTTCTTCTTCTTCTTCTTCTTCTTCTTCTTCTTCTTCTTCTTCTTCCTTCTTCTTCTTCTTCTTCTTCTTCTTCTTACTTCTTCTTTCTTCTTCTTCTTCTTCTTCTTCTTCTTCTTCTCCACCTTCTTCTTTTGCCCCCTCTTCTAAGGAATATTGCGGTGACTGCCACAAGTGGTGAGTGTATGTATGTATGTATGTATGTATGTATGTATGTATGTATGTATGTATGTATGTATGTATGTATGTATGTATGTATGTAATGTAGTAATGTATGTATGTATGTATGTATGTATGTATGTATGTATGTATGTATGTATGTATGTATGTATGTATGTATGTATGTATGTATGTATGTATGTATGTAGTATGTATGTATGTATGTATGTATGTATGTATGTATGTACTGTATGTATGTATGTATGATGTATGTATGTCTGTATGTATGTATGTATGTATGTATGTATGTATGTTATGTATGTATGTATGTATGTATGTATGTATGTATGTATGTATGTATGATAGGTATGTATGTATGTATGTAATATGTATGTATGTATGTATGGTATGTATGTAATGTATGTATGTATGTATGTAGGTATGTATGTATGTATGTATGTATGTATGTATGTATGTATGTATGTATGTATGTATGTATGTATGTATGTATGTATGTATTGTATGTAGGTATGTATGTATGTATGTATGTATGTATGTATGTATGTATGTATGTATGTATGTATGTTGTATGTATGTATGTATGTATGATGTATGTATGTATGTATGTATGTATGTATGTATGTATGTATGTATGTATGTATGTATGTTATGTATGTATGTATGTATGTATGTATGTATGTATGTATGTATGTATGTATGTATGTATGTATGTATGTATGTATGTATGTATGTAGTATGTATGTATGTATGTATGTATGTATGTATGTATGGTATGTATGTATGTATGTATGTATGTATGTATGTATGTATGTATGTAGTATGTATGTTGTATTGTATGTATGTATGTATGTATGTATGTATGTATGTATGTATGTATGTATGTATGTATGTATGTATGTATGTATGTATGTATGTATGTATGTATGTATGTATGTATGATGTATGTATGTATGTCATGTATGTATGTATGTATGTATGTATGTATGTATGTATGTAATGTATGTATGTATGTATGTAGTATGTATGTATGTATGTATGTATGTATGTATGTATGTATGTAGTATGTATGTATGTATGTATGTTGATGTATGTATTGTATGTATGTATGTATGTTGTATGTGTATGTGCGTGTGTATGTGCGTGTGTATGTGCGTGTGTATGTGCGTGTGTATGTGCGTGTGTGTGTATGTGCGTGTGTATGTGCGTGTGTATGTGCGTGTGTATGTGCGTGTGTATGTACATGTGCGTGTGTATGTGCGTGTGTGTGCGTGTGCGCACGTGTGTGTGCGCGTGTGTGCGCGCGCATGTGTGCGCGTGTGCGTGTGCGCGCGCGGGCGCGCGTGCGTGTGCGTGTATGAATGTATGTATGTATGTATGTATGTATGTATGTATGTATGTATGTATGTATGTATGTATGTATGTATGTATGTATGTATGTATGTATGTATGTATGTATGTATGTATGTATGTATGTATGTATGTATGTTATATGTATGTACGTATGTATGTACGCACACTCACCTGTACAAGATTGGGTTGATGGTGGCGCTGAGGTAGTAAGTAACCCCGCTGACGTAAAACAGGACGTTGTGTACCGCCAGTACCAAGGGCGACCACTTCTGCTCGTACACGACCAGCAGACGTTGTGTGTGGAAGGGCGCCCAGCACAGAAAGAATGCAACAACAACCGCCACTGTGGGAGGAAAGACACACTTTGTTACAGCTACAACCATCAACTCCATCCTAGCCAATGTTGCCTCTTTAAATGTTTTGCATCCAGATTTAGATGTTTTTCCTTGCATTTATATGGTGTTTTTGACGTTTAGATAGTAGATGTTTTTCTAGATGTTTCCCACGCAAATGTAGATGTTTTTAGATACATTTAGATATTTTTTGACTCCGTTATGGATGTTTTTTGTCAAAGAAAAGTGGCAACACTGACCCTAGCTCCCTCCAAGTTTTTCCTGTTGCCTGATTAAACAATACACATATGGCATATGCGTATCTTTTTTTTAAAATTATTATTATTATTCATAGAGAATGAACCTTTTTTGGATGTAAAATCTTTGAGCATTTTCTCAGATGGAATGAAGTCTTTGCAACTCATCTATACTGATGGCACATTTCTTGTTCCGAAAAACTTCAATAAGGTCATCCTTTGGTGCAGGCGATAAAATATATTTTATTAGACATGAACATTTAGTTCTATGCAACAGTATGTGCTCTAATGTACTCACCCGACCATGGGCTCTCATGATTTCACTAAGATGATTAATTGTGCGTATTACACAATGGCAGGTCATGCTTACAGCAAGTTGCAACTCTGCTGCCTTTAACTTTATCATTACTTCGCTTAGGAGTCATTGTAGTAATAAGCTATGACTGGCTTTTTGACAGAGTTTTTATCCTGTGTTTTTCGGATTTTTCATGATTTGATATGCTACTAATTTTTGGTTATCAGTTCACTGACACAGTTTACAATATGCTGCCTCCGATCGGTCTGACGATCTTTTGAGCCGTGTGGATGTTTTCTTTAAGTTACTGTTATACTTGCAATGTAATAAGATGCTTTCCATTTATTTGGATGACGTGGCCATTGGTAAAAGTAATAAAATCTATACAGACAGAACTAGGTCTATATCCTCTCTGTTTTCTGTCCTCATGTAGTTTCTGAACAGTCTGGATCACTTAGTATCAGTGGTAAAATTTGGTTTTATACTCACATTTATTCAAGTAAATTTAACATGAACTACAGAGGGCCATTCACCATGCTTGAGGACCTTGATTTTGCAGATGATATAGCACTCCTATCACATAAACATGAACATATACAAGAGAAAAGTAACAGACTAAACTGCACAGCAGAAATGGTGGGACTGAGAATAAAAACAAAGAAAACTAAGATCATGACAAACAGTCCAAACCAACAACCAGTGACCATAAGTAACCAATCACTTGAAAATGTAGAACATTTCACATATCTTGGCAGTGTGGTGTCCCTACTGGGAGGGACAGAGGAAAACATACAGTCACGCCTGAACAAAGCTAGAGCTGCTTTTGAAAGGATGAGGCACATCTGGAAATCCAACAATTACTGCAGAGGAACAAAACTCCGACTCTACAAGAGCATCATTTTGCCAGTTCTTCTTTATGGAGCAGAATGCTGGAGAATGACTAAAAAGGATGCACACAAGCTGTCCACCTTCCACCACACATGTCTACGTAGAATTATCAACATTTTCTGGCCAGATACAATCTCAAACACTAAACTACTTCAAACCACAAACCAAGAAACTTTAGACAGTATGATTACCAAGAGAAGATGGAAATGGCTTGGCCACGTTATGAGAATGACATCTGATATACTTGCCAAAACAGCTCTCCATGGACACCAGAGGGAAAGAGAAAACAGGGGGCGCCCAAAAACAACATGGAGACGAACGATGGAAAGTGACCTGAGTGCGGCATCTTTGACATGGAAAACTGCACTGAAGATTGCACAGGACAAAAAAGCATGGAAAGTCCTCTCTGAAGCCTCATGTGCCACTAGGCATAACGAGAACTGATGACAGAGAGGCCTTGGTTTATCAAAGTCACGATCCGTTTAGGAAGATAACAAATACAGTAAGAAATGGTGCGAATCTCCGTTAGTCTGTACCAGGACATCACAACAAAATCAAACTGAAATAAAGATTTTGTTAACTGTAGGTCTACATTGCTTTTAGTAAAGCTGCTTGTTTCTAACAGAGGAACCTTGAAGAAAATGTGAGCATATCTTGATAAGAAAAGCCAGGAAGAACCCATATATACAAAATATGCCAGTTCATTATTTTATGTCAGTTCAATTTCAAATATGCCAAATTTGCGGAATATGGCATCAAAAATGCCAATATGGCAACCGTGAACTTACCGAGCATCTTCAGAACGGAGAGTCGAATTCGTGCTTGGGGATTGGTGGAGGTGTTTGTCCTGCTATCACATGCTGTTAGCGGGTGGCACCCATCACTGGAGGAGTCCGACCCAGCTCTGTTAAGGGTCGATCTTCTGATGGCCAGGGCGATGAAGAAGTACAATAACGTGATGACCGACATAGGTAGCACGAAGAATATAAACGTCGAGACCTGAAATAGGGACAACATAGTGATGAGGACACATATTGATGAGGACAACATAGTGATGAGGACAACAAGGTGATGAGGACAACATAGTGATGAGGACAAGATAGTGATGAGGACAACATAGTGATGAGGACAACATAGTGATGAGAACAAGATAGTGATGAGGACAAGATAGTGATGAGGAAAACATAGTGACGAGGACAACATAGTGATGAGGACAAGATAGTGATGAGGACAAGATAGTGATGAGGACAAGATAGTGATGAGGACAACATAGTGATGAGGACAAGATATTGATGAGGACAACATAGTGATGAGAACAAGATAGTGATGAGGACAACATAGTGATGAGAACAACATAGTGATGAGGACAACATAGTCATGAGGACAACATAGTGATGAGAACAAGATAGTGATACGGACAACATAGTGATGAGGACAACATAGTGATGAGGACAACATAGTCATGAGGACAACATAGTGATGAGGACAACATAATGATTAGGACAACATAGTGATGAGGGCAACATAGTGATGAGGACAACATAGTGATGAGGACAAGAGAGTGATGAGGACAACATAGTGATGAGGACAACATGGTGATGAGGACAACATAGTGATGAGGACAACATAGTGATGAGGACAACATAGTGATGAGGACAAGATAGTGATGAGGACAATTAGTATGTTAGAGGACAAGATAGTGATGAGGACAATTAGTATGTTAGAGGACAAGATAGTGATGAGGACAATTAGTATGTTAGAGGACAAGATAGTGATGAGGACAATTAGTATGTTAGAGGACAAGATAGTGATGAGGACAATTAGTATGTTAGAGGACAAGATAGTGATGAGGACAATATAGTGACGAGGACAAGATAGACGTCAGTTAGATAATGAAGGACATAAACATATTTCCGAGAGGATCAACTTCGCTGTCCCAAGTTATCCCATACGGTTAGGTAAATTTACGCTGAACGGCTACCTGCCTAGTAATAGAGTCGTATAGAAAGTGAACTCTGTAGCTCCATTGACCATCCTAGTGAAATATTCGTAACAAATACATTCGTGAACTGAAATACCTGCCCGTGACGCTTCTTTTTTTTTCGGTGCTTTATTAATATCCTACCCCCAGATGACGTCACAGGACAGTCCAGCATTTTAGAGGGTGGTAAGACTGGTTTTCCCGGCTTTCTGATGCTTTTAACGACCCCCAAAACATTTAGAACTTGCCCTAACTCCAACGTCCAACGAGAGAGTGCAGCCTAAGTCCCACGACAGCATGGAGCCTAGTTCCCACACGTACATGCAGCCTATCTACCACCCCCAGAAATATTAGACTGTCCCGTGACCTGTGGATTTTTCCTGTTTGAGGTGGGATATTAATAAAGCACCCTTTTTTTCTTAGCCTTCACCTGCTGTAAACTCCAGCGGAAAGTTCTGGTTGTTCGTCCACTTCCGGACTTTGAGCTTGTTCGTGGACTTGACTTTTGCGTACACATCCATTTTCAGATTTGGCCTTTTTTTTTTGTATGCAGACTGTTTGTCTGCATACACACCTCAAGCACTTGCACTCCAACTTCAAAAACAAAAATCTGATCTGGTCGCATTCTACGACACGTTTGTTAGGAAAGCAGTGGGTCTATTCCCCCGCCCCTAAAGTGGGGCCAGGAGCCGACACAAAGGCCCGTGAAATAAACCCTTAACCCTCATTGCAAAAAGCAAATTGACCCCTTTGCCACAGAGATCCATAAAATCGATCACCAGTCAGTAAATCAGTCATGACGTTGGTTATTTGATTGACCTGCTTGGTTATCTAATCCCCCATTCACTTTCTTCCCCTAACGCCCCCTCCCCCCTATTAGGCAACCATTCCACTGGACGCTCGTCCGTCAGTGTGCCTGCTGTCTATGCGTTAAAATGTAGTGTTTATTTGGCACATCCAATGTCGGATTTAGCCATAAGCTAACTAAGTTGTAGATTAGGGCCTCACAATCTGCTAGGGGCTAAAAAAAAAAATCAATTTTCCTCTCATTTGTAGATATCTTTTCACACAGCATTGAAGAGGATTACATAATAAAACTTATGCGATTTTAGTAAACACATTCTTTCTTATTTATTTGACTACAATTCAAATGATAGTATATTTCTATATAGAGTAGATAGTAAATTTATGCAAAAATATGAACAAATCTATCACCCAAGCCAACCGAGAAGGGCAAGACTAACCCAGAAAACCACGACACTGGATCACAACCTGGTATCAATGAGACGACAAAACCACGACGCTAGGCTACAACCTGGTATCAGTGAGACGACAAAACCACGACACTGGGCCACAACCTGGTATCAGTGAGACGACAAAACCACGACACTGGGCCACAACCTGGTATCAGTGAGACGACAAAACCACGACGCTAGGCTACAACCTGGTATCAGTGAGACGACAAAACCACGACACTGGGCTACAACCTGGTATCAGTGAGACGACAAAACCACGACGCTAGGCTACAACCTGGTATCAGTGAGACGACAAATCAACGACACTGGGCCACAACCTGGTATCAGTGAGACG